CTTATTTTCTCCCCATTACCTGTGCACCCTTCACTCCCTCCACCCTTCCCTATTTACATACTTTGTTTCCATTTTTTTCTTTTCTCATAATTTTTCCTTTCCCTTCTTTCCTTTCCCCATCTCCTCCCACCACCCCTACCCCTTTGGACCTTTTGAAACAGGAAAAGATCTTCAGCATTTTTATACCTCAGCCAGGGTCTGTGATCTGTCCCTGACATTTTCAGCTGTGTAAAAGAACAGTAGGTTTGTGGTGCAGTTAATGTTGAATGGTGAAGCTCTGGACCCCTGAAGATCTGCCTCATCTGCAAGCCATGTGCACTCCTAAGTTTAAAACATATTCATTAAGTAAAGAAATTCTAACCTTTAATGTTCTGACATGGATTCAATATATATATTTCATTTTTCTGTGAATTTTGGGCCTGTTAAATTCCACAAGAAAAGGATGTGTGGCTTCTGGGCTACAATACCACTCCTCCCAGCACTGAGGACCACAGCTGGCCCCAGTACAGAGGAGGTGAACCTTTCGGGCCTCCATATCACTGTCCACACTGTATTGGAGGTGAACCTTCTGGGCCACCGGACCATCACTCCCAGAGCTGAGGATATGGGCCATATGGGGGCCAGCACCACAGACACACACACCCCCAATAGAAAGGAGAAGACACTTAAACAAGTCTCAAAACCAGACTCCCAGATCACCTAAAGCAACCCCAAGGGAAAAGAGAAGCAACAATCTGATACTCAACCACATGGACTCCCTGAACTGGCAACAAAAGAGGATCTGGAAAAAATGAAATCATAAAAGTATGGGTGTAATTCATGAGGGCAGAAGGATACGCCTGACCCTTCTGCTGTGTGAACACAAGAAGTGAATCTTCTTGGAGTTGCAGGTCATTGCTGGTCCATGGACTGCAGAAGGGTTGTCCTGTGAGGGGCGAGGGACTTGACCTTTGTAAAGTCACACTCAGGATTTTCTTCAAAACTTTCTTACCATTCTTTTTTTTTGTACTGGGGATCAAACTTGGGACCTTGTGCTTGTGAGGCAGGTGGAACCACTGGGTAAATACCAAGCCCTTTCTTACCATTCTTGCTCTGCATTTTCTTGTTAACTTCATCATTGCTCTGAACATTTGTGTCGCCTTCATTGTCACTCTGTATTTTTTTTGCCACCATGTATGCTCTGCACTTTCTTTGCAGCCATGCTGGACTGAATAATACTAGATTTGCTAACAAGAACACAAGCAAGCTCACCAAGAGTGCACATATCTAAAAGCAAGGAAGCCATGATGACAGGTCAGAGTGGGGAAGATGGCCACGGTCATGTTTCTGTTGGGAAGATGGCTGGGATCGTATTCAACACCAAATGTCGAGTTTGTAAACATAAGCATATTTTTGTTGAATGCTTCTGTTCAAAAATCAAATTGTTGATGAACAGGAGCATTCATGAACTGAGACTGTACTGTTCATCTACCACATGATCCAGAATTCCCTCTCCAGTAGATCTGTATTATGGAAAAAAAATTAAATCCATATGAGGGAGAGGGAAGATGTCCACACCACCATATTCATTGCAGCGCTCTTCACAAAAGATATGGGCTGGAAGACATCTAAGTGTCCATTAAATAATGATGGTATAATGAAAATGCAGTACATATATACAGTGGAATACTAGTTACCCGAAAAATGAATGAATCCTATCACTATGACAACATGGATGGAAATGAACAAACTTGTTTTATTTGAAACAAAACAGGCTCCTAATGCCAGATTTCACATTTCATCAGTCCTACGTGGAATGTGAATATCTATCTCATAAAGTGAGAGTGGAATTGTGATTACCAGAGTCCAGGGTGAACAGTGAGAGGGAGATGAAGAAATGTTTGTCAGTGTAAATGACGCTACAGTTAGATTGGAAAATGGATTTTTGTCATCATACCACACAGTAAGGTGATGACAGAAAGGAATAATGAACTCAAAAATTTAAAAACAGAGAAATCATTGTGAATGTTTCATCAAAAAGAAATGATGCATGTTTGAGGTAAAATGCTTAACCGATTTTATACATTACACAATATGCATATGTGTAGAAAAATACAATGATACCATAGGATGATAATTGTAGAATATAAAATTAAATTAAATAAACAAAATAAAAATTTTAATACATTAAATGAAATAAGTTTTATTTAAGTAAATAAAAGAAGTATTAAAAGGCTGTGGTACTTGCATAAGAAAGATATTTTGAGCAATGGAACCCAACTGACAGCAAAGAAGCAATTTCGCATGTACACAGTCAGCTGATCTTCAACACAAACAAGGAAAGAAGATTAAGTACAAAAAATGACGTGGTCAAAACTGTACAGAAGCAAGAGAGTAAAATGAGAACCCCACCTATACCATATAGAAAATCAACTCAGAAAGGACTAAAGATGTAGACATAAGTCTTGATTGTAAATCTTAAGGGAAAATTTCCGGGACTTTGGGCTTTCAATGATTTCTTGGATGTGGCATCAAAGTCAGTCAAGTAAGCAAAATTAGAGGAGTGAGACGAAATCCTTCTGCACACCAAACAGAAAAATGCAGAAGAGTGAAAAGACAAACCACAAAACCGAAGACAATATTTGTAAACCATAGATCTAGTATGGGATTAATAATGAAAATATGTAAGAAACCTTTGAAACTCAATAGCAGAATACACCCAGTTTATAAATAGACGAAGGACTTGAATTTACTTTTCTTCAATGAAAAAGTAGTCAATAGAATTATAAAAAATGTATTCAGTATCATTGATCATCAGGGAAATGCAAATCTAAAATATTTTAAACATTGTAATGTACTGAAAAGATGTACTAATAAAAAATTTTTAAATGACAACTGCAAAACTTTTAAACAGAGTATGAAGTATACTACTCAATAAAAAACAGCAAATTGGGCCTTATTCTGAGACATTTACACTTTCAATTATGAAGGAAATCATTATGTTGCTATTGTGGACCAGAAGATAATTGAGGTATAATCCCTTAGGAATATCTCTGGGCTTGATCAACAGTGAAATACCTGGATAAAAACAGCCTCATTTACACTTTTTCACAGTGTTCCCAAACCTGCATTTGCTGTACCTGGGGTAAGAGAAAACTTCAAACACTTTAAAGACTTTGTGCAGGCAGAACCTAAAGTCTTAAGGATGTCTATGTTACTTTTAGAAACTATTGTGCTACTGAAAACCAAGTACTGTACTAAATGTCTCTTGCCTTTGCAAGTGTGAATAATATGTATTCATCAGGATCTAATTTATGCAGAGTTCTGCCTAAGAACGAAAGCAAACTTATTGGAAAGAAAGATGATAAAAAATATTGAATTTATAGTTGTATAATTAAAATGGTTGCTCTTCTTGAAGTATATGGTTTAATTTTTGTGGTTGATGAAGTTAGTTCAACATAAGAACAAATCATGAAAGCTATCAATGCAGAGTAATGAAATATAAGACATATTCAACTATGCAGGGTCTTATATCTTGATATTATAAAAATACTGTCAATAATAACCTAAAATTTATATCAATGACATTATCTACTTAATGTAACTATTTCTTTTATATTTCTCAAGGTTCAGTTATTTAAAAATCTCAAAACATATCAAGACTCACGGTTTGCTTTAATTCCTTGGGAGAACTATGAAGTCATGGTATATCAAACGACAGGGAAAATGGCAAAAATCAAATATGCTATAAGGAAGACAGACCTCAGTCTTGACCCTGGAATTATTATTATCATTATCATTTGTTTTTTGTAACACAATTTCACTATATAGTTCACTCTGGCCTTGAACTCACTGTGTAGGCCAGGCTGGCCTTGAACTCATGGTGATCCTTCTGCCTCACCCTCTTGACTGCTGAGATTACAGGCATGTGCCACCATGCCTAGGTTAATTCTGAAATTATTAATCAGAGAAGTTTCTGTAAATGTGAAATAATATGCACAAAATCAATTCCTGTAACAAATTCTCAATTAGTGGCTGTTGTTATTTCTCTTGTCTTTTGCAAATCTAGGGTTTTGCAAATATTTCAAATTTAGTGTTTCATCATAAAATTCAGGTAGAAATTATAGAAATAGATTTACTTTTACTTTTGAAATTTATCCTTTAATATTCAGTCATCAAGAATCAATATAATTTCTCCTCAAAACTCTGAACCATTTGAATATGTGATAATATTAATTTTCTTATAACAGTATACCTTTTATTTTATCAGCTAATAAAATATTACTCTGATAATTTAACTAAAACCTCTTATTATTCAAAGGAAATGTAAGCCCCTTCTAGTGTACAAAGCATAATTGTGGTAAATTTCATGAATATTTTTAAAAGATCATATGCACATATATATGGAAGAAAAACAAAATCATAATTCAAAATGTCTTTCACTGACTTCATCCTCTTAAAATAGTAAAGTCAACAAATTTAGCTTATGTTATAAAATAGTTTTTGAAAGATTCAATTTATAAAGTAATTTTCCATCAAATATGATGGTCATCTTATAAAATAAATATTAATTCTTTAAAGTCTAAAGATGATTGGTTAAATCACACTGCACATTTGATGACAGAGTTGTGATTCTACCTCAATGTTCTACACTGATATAATAGCTCTTGAAAGGAATTTTTTGAACACTCATTGTCTTTTAATGTGACTTAATATGAAACCAGCTAATACAATTCAGGGGAATTAATCAGTGGACCTGATATTTAGGATTTGTGGCGCTAGGGTATTACCTACGTGAACACGTATGTTTTGCACTTGACAGTGCAGTGAAGGACATGAGCACTCCTCTCACTAACTTGTTACTGTATTTGTATCTCTTGCTGGGAAATTATATTCAGTGTGCACACACACATATGCATACATACACATGTGTGTGTACAGAAATACTTAGATAGACACAGGTCCTGCTGTTCATGGTTACAGTGAGGTTCATTCTCTCCTAGTGACATGATCTTCAGTGTATGATTATCTTCAGGTTTCTCCTGGGACATGTCGGCCTGGAGAATTTCACTGAAGTGACCGAATTTGTGTTGAAAGGATTCACTGACAATGCTGAGCTACAGACCATTTGCTTCTTCCTATTTCTAGCAATTTACCTTCATACTCTCATTGGAAATTTAGGGCTGATTGCGCTGGTCATTGGGGATTCCCGGCTGCACAACCCCATGTACTATTTTCTGAGTGCCTTGTCTTCTGTGGATGCCTGCTTTTCCTCCACTATTACCCCAAATATGTTGGTGGATTTCATGTCAGAGAACAAAGTCATTTCCTTCCTTGGGTGTGCAGCACAGATGTTTTTTGCTGTAACGTTCGGGACCACAGAATGTTTTGTCCTGGCTGCAATGGCTTATGACCGCTATGTAGCCATCTACAACCCGCTGCTGTACTCTGTGAGCATGACACCCAGGGTCTATGTGTCACTCATCACTGCGTCCTACCTCGGGGGGATCCTGCATGCCACTGTGCACACAGGGGCCACTTTCAGCCTGTCCTTCTGTGGGCCTAATGTCATCCAACACATCTTCTGTGATATCCCTGCTCTGTTTGCGATTTCTTGCTCTGACACTCACAGGAACCAGCTTCTACTCTTTTACATTGCTGGCTCTATTGAAGTATTTACTGTACTAGTCGTCCTGGTATCCTATGGTTTCATTCTGTCAGCTATTCTTAGGACACGCTCTGCAGAAGGGAAACGAAAGGTCTTTTCTACATGTGGCTCTCACCTCACTGCAGTGTCCATTTGCCACGGAACTGTTATTTTCATGTATGTGAGACCCAGTTCCAGCTACACCTTGGAGCATGACATGATGGTGTCCATATGTTACACCATTCTGATTTCCATGCTGAACCCCATCATCTACAGTTTGAGGAACAAAGATGTCAACCAAGCAATGCAAAAAGTGTTTGGCAAAAAATAGTTTATGAATGAAGTACATTTTTGACCTGAAAATTGGTGCCAAAATTAAAACTGAGATTCTGTATGTCAATATAAAGAGAATATGAAAATGTTTAATTCCCTAATGCCTCTCTCCTTTGTGACTATTTCAGATACTGAACACAAATCATATTCTCCTGTGACTCACTGATACCAGAGATAAACTATCACCCATCTGCTTTCATAGTGCTCATATCAATATGTGTTTTTGTGTCCATACTCAGATGCTGTTACCGCTGCCATGTGCACTACACACATGGCCTGTACATATGTGACCTTCAGCATGCTGCGTACTACCTTCCCCAGCCAAACTAAATTGTGTCTTAGTTTCCCCTAAATACATCTATAAAGAATTTTGTAGGTTTGTCTGACTGGCTTGATCAACACTGTGTAAGCAACAGGAAATAAATATTGCTCCCATAATCAGACTGTTTTCCCTAGAGCTATTGGTACTTAACTCCAATTTGAAGCAGTTTCCTGCATTCTCTGCCATATGCAGCAACTGCATTGCCAACCGTGGTCTTCATATTTCTGTGGATCATCACTGGGCTGATTGGTAAGTTTGAAGCTCGACCACTTTTAGTATACATCCATCCAGAGCACGGGCACGAAACCCAGTCTCTATGCTGATAGCCTGGGTCATCGGCATTTGTCAGGACTGCACTTAAACATGGCCACAACAGCACAATCACAATTCATTTAATGAGACAGAACTCCCTGCTGGATTCATCTCTCTGCAGACCGGAGTCCACACCCTCAGTTAGGAGCCTTCCCTCAGTCTGCCCTCTGCTCAGAGCTTCTCTCTGCTTTCTGTCCCCCTGTACCCAGCTGTGTTGCCCTTGCCTGGGCCGTTTCCTCACTGCCTGGCTCTGGAAGGAAATGACTGGAAATGGGCTCTGTTGGCTGAAGCTCAGTCCTGCTCCCTCACCTCATGGTCCCTGCAGCCCCGGCTTTCCTCAGAGACAAAGCCATTGCATTTTCCCTTCCTCACTTTCATCTTAATTCATTCCATTTCAATTAGTATCTTGTGAACCCATTCGTGATTCCCTTTATTCATTACTTATTATAGGATAACACCCTCAGAATGTGGAAAGTAACCACAAGATATTTTTTAAAAGTGTGATTGATACATTTCAATACCACCACAACACATTCCAAACACAAAACCTCTCCCACCCAAACATATTCTTACATAACACCATAAAAGTTATTTCACTCTTGTAGCAGGCAATCCCTTGTGATATCATGGAATGCCTCCTTTCAAAGGTTAACACTCAGTTATGATCATTCTGTCCATGATCTGTATTTCATCAAACACTGCACTCGGGGACTGACCTGGTGTACGTGAGCTCATACACATGTCTACTTGCGTGGATATTTCTAGGCATTGAAGAGTTACTTGCACAAATTGAAATTACAAGTAGTGATGGCTTTTAGGTGTATTCAAGCTTAAATTTGCCTCAGAAGAATCAATCATGAAAGTAGTACAAGAATAAGCCACAGGCTAGATAATTATGCATTGATTGAATTAATAAATTATACACTAGTAATCCATGGGGCATTGGATAACAAATACATACAAATAATAACTCCAAATAAAGAATCCTCTCAGGATTGATATCTATATTTCTCTTTAAAGGTAACCTGAAAATTGTAAATGTAAGGTCACATCAAACACTCTTCACTGTAATAAACTTTTTCAATAAATTGAAAAGCTGTGAAGTAGAACCTGAGGGCAAGAAAGCAAAGTAAACCCCTCAGCTGTTCCGGTGGGATTTTAACACCAGGGACATTCTGGCAAATAATTTAGAAACTTCTAATAAGTTTATCCATTTGAAATATGATGATAACCTATAGATAAGCAAATTAACACACAAGAGTTCAAAACAAAAACCAAACAATACAATAAATTCGAGGATAACCATTCATAGTATATTAGAAAAATGGCATCAATTTTTAAATATTACAGAATATTTTGTTGATGAATACATAAATTAACAAATAAGTAATACACATGGTTGATAGTGTTTAAATCAGGTAAAAGATTTAACTGGAAATGAGTAGAATTCATGGAATTAGGAAGGGATATATAAAAAGTTTCAATATTATTCATATGAAATTTATGCCTAAATAAATAAGAAAGACTAATGGATATATATGTAAAATCAAAGGTAATCTTACACAGAATTCAAAATAAGTATTCTTGTCACTTAAGTAAATACAGACTTCTATTGCTAATATTTGTCAGGGCATTTGTAAAAGCCTTGGATTCTTGGATCGTTAAAATCTGAGTAAGCATCTGACATAAACATTAAAAGACAAAAGGCTCCTTTTGGCTCAGGATTCAGCCCTCAGTCCATGGTCTGCTGCACGGTTGCTGTGGGCTTGCAGCAAGGCAGAAACCTGGTGAAAAGTGCAGCCAGAGGCCAGTTGCTCACATGATGGCAGCCAGGAGTCAGAGAGGGTGGGCAGGCCAGAGAAGAGCGGCTGGGACCAGACAGGGTCCTCAAGTTCACCCCAGGACGCCCTCCCTCAGCAGGCCCTGTTCCCCTTGTCATCACTCCCAATGATGCCATCAGGCTATTATTAACATGAATAGAGTACAGACATCAATATGCTCCATTAAGTGATGCTGTAGGCTGCATGATCCAATCGCTTTCTCAAAACCCATCAGCCCTGAACCAAAGCTTTAGTGCTTCAGGCTGAGGGAACAGCTCAGTGCTGTAACACGGCTGCAATCCCACAGTCTCAGTAGTATCTGCTGAGCTGACGACACCGCCTAATCCACAGCAAAGCCAGCGCTCTCACCCGGAGCATTTCCACGGCCTGGACGCTGCCAGCCTCCACTCGGAGTCCTCTCCTCCCTGCTGAAGTCCATGTGACCAGCGAGCCACAGCACGAGAGGTCTGCACACCGCGCACGACCTGGGCAGAGTCCTGGTGTCCGTGAGGCTGGCCGTGGGGTGAGTTCATCCCCACTGCATTCTGTTATCCACGGCGCAGGCAGCAGCCCCACTTCTTCCTTTCTCACCGACCACTGAGACTCTGTCAGCGTTTCTCAAGATTGTACTGA